GTGGTGGGGGCGGGTGCCAGCCCCGGAAAAAAAAAAAAAAAAAAAAAAAAAAAAAAAAAAAAAAAAGAAAGACACAGCAATCACAATAATATACTGAACTTTTCAAAAGGAGAGAGTATGCAACTCTTTGTGCCATTGAGATATTAAACTCCACTGGGAGATGCTAAGTTAACACTGAACCCCTTCCCTTCAGTTCAGTTTGGGACTAGACTTAGTGCTTCCTCTCTCTCCTCCCATCTTTAATATTCTTTAATGGTTTTTTCCCCCCAGCTCTTGGATGTAAGTCTAGCTGATGAATTGCATGCAGTCTCCACTGTTAATACTATGCCTGGCAACAGGATGAAGAAATGTCAGTATCCTGACATCGGACCATCAGGTGTCCAGCTTCCTCTGCTCTCTCCTTATCAGGGATACTGTTGCCCGCGTTGTGGGGGAAGTTGAACATGGAATAAAGGGGGCCCCTTTAAAAGTCATATTCAGGGGAATGATCCCCTATATAAAAAGCTAATCTTCAGTCCGAAGCAACTAATCAATAGGAGAAGGCTGGATTTCTGAACAGGTTTCCCTAAGGATGTCTAAGGGGTCATTCATCCTCTCAAACCTCTTGAGAGCTAAAAAGATGGTCTGATAAGGAAGGCTTGGTCATGAAGTTCCCAGAGAGTTTGTGGCTTGTCTAGCTGGAATAGGAGAGTTGCTGACGCCCTGGATGCTGCCTTGGTATTTTAGCCTGTAGAGTTAAGGAAAATTTAGCCAAACTGTCCAAATTCACTAAAACTCACCACCACCAGATCTATAGCTCCTTTCCATCACTGCACTCATACAAGCACTGTGGAGCAAAGCTAATAAACTCTTCCAGGATTTTGTTTTTAAAAATAGTCTGTTAATACACCTTATGATTTTCTATGGTCTTTTGATCCCATTACCTACAAATTAGTCATGACTACCTGAGCAAATGAAAAAGTATTTCAAATGAACACAGGTAGGAATCTGGTCCGAATTGGGAGCCATTCCCACCACCAGGCTAATTTCACAAAATCCACCTCTTTAAAATAGTACCACACACACACACACAAAAATCCTTGGATGTTAGAAATCCTTCAAGAGAATATTCACTCATAGAATTATATTTGTGCCATATCTATCCAGTGTGCCACCGGGCCGGCCCTATGCAATTCATTTTTAACCCTTTCACTCCTATTAGGTCAGTGGAACTTTATGCAAAATTATTCTTGTTTGTTCTAATTTTTAGATGAATTTCCAGTTCGGAAAACTTCTCCCCCCATTCCGCCACCGAAATGTGTGTATTTTAGCAACATTTCCAGGCTGACACATTAAGGAATCAAAAAAAAAAATTAAAATGTAGGGCTGCCACTTTCTACACTGCCTTACTACAGACTAAAAACGACAGCAGGAGAACTAGGCACTTGGTCTTTTAAGCTATCTCCCCCCATCAGTCTCAGCATAACTAATCATACATTCATTATTCATATAGTGTGTTCTCTGTGTGTGAATTATTTATTCCCTTACCCCAATGCCTGAATATTTATAAATTCGCTCATTTAGCTAAGAGTGTATGCCTGGTTTAAATATTTTAAATAATTTAATACAGTTGAACCCTCTCAGAACTTAGCTCCTTGGTGCATTAATTTGCATACTTCCTAGGTTAGACTGAGCCCCAACGTGACTCTACACAGAAGTGCTCCCTAAAGGATACCAGTGTTAGATGGAATCAGACTTTATTTATATTCCGTTTTTTTTTTTTTTTTTTTTTACAAGGAGTAAAAGTAGCAGTTTGGTTCTTTAAAAATTTTTTTCCACCAGGAAATCATGTTCCCTCTGGTAATGGGAAATTTCCACAAACTGAGGTTTACTTATCCCATTTTTCACAAACATGGAAAAGGCCACAAAAACACACCAAAGTGACAACGTCCAGGACAAAGGTGTCTAAGCCCTGAAGCAGGATTTAGAATGGCTGCCCTGCCAAATTGCTTATTTCAGGTTTAGTGACCTGCACTCTGGCTTCAGTCATATCCATGCATATTGCAAGCTCCTTTCTGAGGGGAGAAAACTGCAAAGGTTCAGTATTTGGACTTGCAGATGAAATAAAATATACGGATATACATTTCATGCGCGTTTTAAAATTTCTATCCTCCCAGCTATAATTTCTACAATACCCAGCTACGGGCTTGCTTTAGGGACAGGTTTCCTTTGTGTGCAGAATTTAAGTGGGCGCTAAAAAAACCCTCAGGATTCAAAATCAATAATTTTTAATGCAGCATTTAAAAAGTCAAGACTAATGAAGAAATTCCACGTTGACAAAATTATCACAAATTTAAATATACCACGTCCTCACTCATAAGTGGGACCTAAATTTTTTTCTTAAATAAAAGCAAGATCTGACCCTATCTGCCTCACTCGCCTCACCCTGATGTTAATCCTGACTTCAATAAAGTGTTAGTTACATAAACAAGAGTGCAGCCAAAGTCTCCTTTTATTTTTAATTGGAACATAGTTGATTGCACATATCTGTGGGATACAGCATTGTATATCAATACCTGTATTCAATGTGTGATGTTCAAATCAGGATAATTAGTATATTCAACATTATACAAAGTAGTCAATTTTCGTGGCCCTTTACCAATTCCTCCCTTACCCCCCTTTACCTCCCCCTTTCCCACCTCTGGTAACCTCAGTTGCGTTCTCTTCTCTTGAAAGTTCACAAAGCTTCCTGACTTGATTAATTTACATACTGCGTGAAAATGTGTACCTCGATGCCCAGTAGGCATTGTCCCCACCCCAGAGCTCAAGGGCGGGCTGACTGCAGTGGCCTCGAGCCTCCCAGGTAACTTTTGACTCTGGAGGGGAGAGGAGACTTGGGAGAGAGCCCAGAGCAAGCCGCTTACCCTGTGAACACGTCGGGGTATTGAGCGCGTTGGAAAACACTCTCCAGTTTGTGCAGTTGCAACCGGCTGAACTTGTTGCCGCAGAAGCTATGCTGCGGGTCCCGGGGTTGCAAACCCTCGGTGGCTCCGTGGGCTGGCTCATCCGGCTGCTGTCGTCCCAGCTCCTGGTCGCCGCCTCCACCCCTCGTGGTTCTCGTTGTTCATGGGGCCAGGAGCTCCCCGCAACGTGCCCTTCTTTTGCTGCCCAGGTTCAGACAGTATTTTCTCCTGGTCGTCTCCTCTCGCCACGGTCTCCGAGGTCACGGTAGACTTCGCATCTGGAAAGGAGGAAAGCCAAAGGGAGAGATCAGGGCCTTAGAGCCCAGCGTGTGTGGGCGGAGGGAGGCGAAGGCCGCGCAGCAGCGGCCGGTCCACTCCCTTCTCCCTGGGAAAGTTCGTCTCCTGGAGTTCGCCGAAGCCCGTGTCCCGGGCCAGCCTCCCAGGCTGCGGTAGCCGGTGTCATCGTGCCTGCACCCGTGAGGAGGCTCCGCGCTGAGTGCTGTCGATGAAGCTGTGCGCCTCCGCGGACTCTGCGCTGGGGTCCTTCTTTTTAGCGCCTGGTGGGGGTTACAGCCTGTCTGTCGCCGGTTCAACGCCGGGTAGGCGACTGCCATTCTGGTCTCCAGTTGCGGTGTGTGTGGCGGTGCGGACCTGCTGGGAATCGCACGCGGCCAAGGCGTGGCCATCAAGTAAGGAGAGTGCTTGCTGGAAGGGCGCTGGTACGGTTGTGCGTGTATGGGGAACGGAAGTAAATCTTGCAGTTTAGCTGACTACTCCCCACCGAGGAAGGGGCAGTGCTGGATTGTGCAGGCCGATATGGGGCAGGGGGAGCGGCAGAGGAGCGAGACCTCACGCTAGCCCCTGGGGCCCTTGGAGAACATCTCCCCTCCAGCCCTGATGCACGCTGGTTGGCATATGACAAGGTGCCCTGCGCTCCTCCAGAGCCAGAGACGCAGAGATAGAGCTGGAGAAGGCGAGGAGCCCCTAGCAGCCCAGGCGTGCTGAAGCGAAGGCAGTGCACTTTGCGTTGTGGGCTCTGAACACCACTCTGAACACACCTGTGGCGGGGAGTGGAAACCGGGAATTTGGCAACTAATGGGTGGGACTCTGGTTCCGTTCCGTTCGCACTCAAAGTCGGCGAATCGGACTAGTAGTAATTAACATAAAATGGTTAGGTCGGAAACTACTTACTAGGTTTTTGCGACCACGTACTGAAAACTGAACGCACTGTGCTCTCCAGGGGGCCCCGGGAGCGGGAGCTTGGGGCTGGGTTTGCAGAGCACTCTGCGTGTACAGAGGCAAGAAACCCAGCACTCCCCTTGTGAAAGCTCCAAGTACTCCACGTCAGGGTACAAGCGCAGGACCCACGTCAGAGAACAACTGCAGAACCCTGCCCAGTGTTTACTGCATCCAAGAAAGCTTACACTGCACGTGGCCCTTTCTTGGGCTCTGGACGCGACTGTGGAGCGTGTAACTCTGCTATGCCATGCCCCGCCCGGGCTCTGGCTGCAGGCCCTCCACAGAAGCGCACGTGTTGGGTGTGGTGGGTGGGTGCTGTGGACTTGGGTTAATTCCCGCTTTCCCCTTCTCCTCCCCCTTGTCGTTTTTTCCCTCTTCCTTCCCCTTCTCTTCCTCCTCCTCCTCTTTCTTTCCCACTCTTTGTCTAGAATATCTTCTTGAGCTCTTGCTCCTCACTGATAAATGTCAAATAAAAAAGAGCCCGGGTAGGTAGGGTGGTGAGGGTTGATGGAGTTTGGATGTGTCGTCCCCTCCAAAACTCCTGTGGAAATCTGATCCCCAATGTGGCAGTGTTGGAAACTGATTGAGTCATGGGGGCGGATCCCTCATGAATGGATTAATGCTCTCCCTGGGGTAGAGGGGATTAATGAGTGAGTTCTCGCTCTATTAGTTCCCGGGAGAGCTTGTTGCTTAAAAAGACCCTGGCACCTTCTCTCTCTCTCTTGCTTCCTCTCACCATGTGATCTGCTTGCACCCGCCGGCTGCCTGCCACTTTCTGCCATGAGTAGAAGCAGCCTGAAGCCCGTGCCAGATGCAGCTGTCCCAGAATCGTAAGCCAAATAAACCTCTTTCCTTTATAAATTTACCCAGTCTCAGGTATTTCTGTTATAGCAACACAAAACGGACTAAAACAGGGGTGCTCTATGTTTTTCCCGTCAAGAAGTGTTTTGCAGGTGCCTTGGGACGAGTTAGTATCCTGAATATTGAGAATAGCTCCTTAATAATGGGTCCTGTGCTTGACAATGTACATTATTTATCCTATTTTTACCTTCATAACCACCATTGTTATCAGACCCACTTAATCAAATAAATTAAACTATTTTCATAGGCCTTTAAAAGTATGGTAGACCCTACTCACCTAGCCTACAGATAGGGTAAGGACTTAACGGATACGGATAAGTTCCTCCTGCCTCATGTTCCCAGAGGGTGGGTATGAAACCAGCTGTAGGACCAATTCACTCCAAAAAGCTGTCAAGTGATTTCACCTCCACAGTCTCTCCCTGACTTTAACCAAGATGTTTCCTCCTCAGGCTGGCTTTTGCTGGGTTCTGCAGGACTCCCCCTCTCATTGCTAGATACTCTGTGATGAATTTTGGCCTGAGGTCAGTTATTACATGAGAGGCCTACAGTGGTGTTAATCATGGTGTGCATTAGCCTAGCTAGGACATCTGTCAAAATTTGAGTCATGTGGTCTCCCACATCTGAGATTTCCAAGATTTACTCCAGTGCTTTCTAAACTTCAGTCATTCATGTGCCCTTTGGTGAGTGTTGCCTATCTGGGCACCAGCCAAAATAGTGTTTACTTAAAATTTTTAGTTAAATTGATTCACTTCTTGGAAACATTACATACCTAATTGAGCTTCATCCAAGTAAAAATAGGCATGAATTACGGATTTGATGTCCCAGATTTACGAGGGCAGGGACCCTGGAGCCAGATTGCTGGCACATGCATCATGGCTTTGCTTGTCTATTGCTGGCTGGTTAACCTGGTGAGTTGCTTTTTCTTCCTGTGTTTCAGTTCTGTGTAAAATAGGTAATAATAGTACCTACCTCATGGGGGTGTTGTCAAGATTGAGATGATAAGGGCCGCCCCGTGGCTCACTCAGGAGAGTGTGGCGCTGGTAGCGCCGAGGCTGCGGGTTCGGATCCTATGTAGGGATGTCCGGTATGCTCACTGGCTGAGTCTGGTGCAGACAACACTGTGCTGAGGGTTGCGATGCTCTTACCGGTCAAAAAACAAACAAACAAAAAAAGATTGAGATGATAATAATAGTAGCTCACACCTGTTTCTTACTGTTATTTAGGCAATGGTCTAAGTGATTTGTTTATATTAACACATTTAATCCTCTTAACAACCCTATGGACATAGGTCTGTTATTATCCTCATTTTACAGGTGATCTTATTGAGTCACAGAGACATTAGCATGCTCACAGTCACCTGCTTGGGAAATGTGGGACCTGGACCTATCCTCTGAGTACTATCCCTGACACAGAGGACATGTTCAATGATGTTTGCTATTCTGCTATATGCTATTATTATTGTACTTCTGTAATTAGTTAACTAGAGGTAACCAGAGATAAAAGTATTTTTTCAACTCAAAATTCTCTTTGCTTGTTTGACTAGCAAATTAGTGCCATAGCTATCTAGTGGTTCCTCAGGCATTAATAACCAAGGGATAAATGGTGATATCCAGAATAATGAGTTGAAAACAGGATGCTAAAGAAAAGTGGTTGGATTTAGGAAGCTGAATAACAATTCTTATCAACACTACATTCTTGTCTATTGTTGGGATAATGAATTAGTACTATAGAACTGCTCAGATACAGGAAACTAATTAATTGGTGATCACTAGAGATATGCAGATGAAGCCAGAGAGTGGAGATCTCATTCTTACCATAACCAACTTAATATTTCTTGTTAACATAATGAGTTAGTTCTATATAACTAGGGATACATAGAAAACTAGTGAACTAGAGACAACTACAAAAATTCAGAGAAGACTGGAACCTGGAAAGCAATCCTCGACAAGTCTAAATTCTTGTCTTTCCTTGATAAAATAAGTTTGTACTATAGATATCTAGTGGTATCTAGGCTGATAGTAAATTTGAGTTAACTAGAAATAATTAGGAAAAATATTTGAAGCCATGAAGTTGAAAAATCATGATTTACCACTCTAACTTCCTATTTCTTGTTAGGATAATGAGTTAATACTATAGATAGCTGGTGATACCTACTTACTTATTTATTTTTCTTTGCAGCTGTCCAGTACGGGGGATCCGAGCTTGTAACCTTGGGGTTATAAGGCTGTGCTCTAACCAGCTGAGCTAACTGGCCAGCCCAAGGTGATACCTCTTTAATTAGCTAACTAGAGATAATTAGAATTTGTATTTGAAATCAAAAGGTTATATCTATGCTATGTAGATTATATCTTATGCTCAAATGACCAGCATAAGGCAGGAAGCCAAAATCACTTTTCTCAACTCTCACATATTTCTTGTTGGTAGTAATGTGTTAATATGATAGGTAAGTCATGGTACCTAGGGAAAAAGTAAACTGCAGATAGCCTGTGATAACTGGAATAATTAGTTGTATCCAGGGAGATGAAATTAGTTAACTAGAGATAACAGACTCTACCTTCTAATTTCTGCTGAAGAGTTAATACTACAGGTAACTGGGGGTACCTAGGGAACTAGTTAACTAGACATAAGTAGAGATAAATAAAAAAACACATAGGGGCCCAAAATCTGGGAAACACATTTTTTCTCACATCTAAATTCTTACTATAGTGGAATAAATGAGTGAATAGTGCAGTTATCTAGTGTTGCGTAGGTAATTAGTTAAATAAAGGTGACTAGAAATTACCAGAATGAATATTTGACACCAGGAAGTTAATAAAGACATATTCTTAATTCTAACCTTTATCTATCTTTCTTTCTTTCTTTCTATCTATCTATCCATCCATCCATCTATCTATTGGTGCCTGGCCAGTATGGTGATCCAAACACTTGACCTTGGTATTTCATTTTTAAGACAATAACAAGGCAGTATTATTGATAAGTAGTGGTACCGATTTATTTATTTAATTAGAGGGAATTAGTATACCTAGAACAATAATTTGGAGCCAGGAAGTTGTAAAAAACATTCTTCTTAACACTAAGTTTAGTTGTTGCTGCAATCATGTGTTAATGCTATAGAAAAATATGGTACCTAGGTAACTAGTTTACTAGGAATAGCTAGAGATAACCAGAAAATCTATTTGAATCCAGAGGTTGAAAAACTGTTCTTCATCACCATGAATCTTATCTTGTGTTAGAATAATGACTTTGTACTATGGATAACTAGTAATAACAGGTTAACTAGTTAACTACAGATAACGAGTTGAAGCAAGAATGTGGATCCACAGTCTTCTCAACAAAAAATTCTTATTTCTGGTGGAAATAATGTATCAGTAGTATAGATAATTAGGGATAGCCAGTTTTCTAGATATCTAGAGAAACTTTGAATATGGGAAGCTGGAAAACACACTTTTCTCAATTCTCAATTCTCATTTTTATTTTAAGCTGGAGTTAGTAATGTAGATAACTAAACGAAGTT